GCATATACAAATATATTATTTTAATTCAAGTGTTATTTCTTTGATTTGTGTTTATAGAATTATAAACGTGCACGATTTGGGATCCAGTTTCTCCTTCTTGTTGGAAATCCTTTGTCTAGAATGTCTCTAGAATGTCTCGAGCAATCTAACCGATGCGTCGTGCAAGGAGTCGCGCGGCAAATGATGCAATAAAATGGGGTGTTTTGATTGGTCAATTCATGATGCGACGAATGACGCGACGCGTAACGCGCTCAGTGGGAATTCACCATTACTCCAGTATATGGGTCTGTTCTTTTTGGCTGAATTGGTTGTACTAGTTCACAGTTTATCTTTCTTCTTCCAGTGTAATCGCATTGGTTAATTGGCCGAATTATTCAATTGGTTAATTCTCTTTCCGCAATAACGCAATTGGTTAATTCTCTTTCCGAGATCTCGGATCGATTTCTAGCATCGTGAAGGCATAAGAAAGAAAGATAAACTGTGAATTAAAATACAATCAGTTTAGCAAAAAAAAAACAGACCTAATATAGCTTATTGTGCCGCTATACTTCGTCGGTAGATTTCCTAATCTGAATAATCGTCAACTTTAACGATTAATATCTCGGTTTGCGGGGCAGAATGACACTTTTTTTTGCCAGATTCTTTCGTTTTGTGCAAAAACGCGTCGAATGAGCCTAATTTTATTGAAATTGGAGATGAGGCTAAACAATTACTATTTGTATCAAGGAATAATACTGGGGAAGGAAAAATATTTATATAATAAATAAAGGATTAAATAATATTCAAAACAATTTTACTGGTAATTATGTCCCAATATCAAGTATTTATATTTTTTATAAAATCATAGTGTTAATCTGTTGTATTATTTACTATCTATATCATCTATTTTGATTATATATGACGAATACAATAATGTATAACTAATTTTTTTATATTTTTAATCTTAATAAACATTTAATTTTTATACTTAATATTTTATTATGCAAAAGTGAATTTCTCTCGTAAAAATCTGAAATTATATTTAATTGTGCAGACAATAATAAATAAATTTAAATTTATTTATTCTCAATTTATCAATCCATTATAGAATCAGAAGAATTGAATTGATATTAAAGTTATAAAATAATTATATAATTAAAATTGTATTGTAAAAATAGATGAATTCTTTAATTTTGTGCCCAGAATATTTTTTTTTAGAACCAACTTATAATTCCTCTATTATTATTCAAGCCACCGATCAGCTCAGCCATTGAGTCTCGAGTGGCAGTATGAGAATAGTACATGTCCCTTTCAAAATTGGATTGAAAAATTAATTTCAAGCCCTAGTTAATGGAAGACATGCACTTGTGGCTACCATTTCTGCTTCATCAAATTGTACATATATCATTATCATTGGATGTAGAGAAGTAAATCAGCATTGGTGTAATAATGAAGCTTGAATTACCAACATTCTAACATCCATAGATTATGACGATTAATTGTATGAATTAATATAAATCATAAAATTAAATGATGTTATAATCCAGAATTTGATTATATCTCTTTCAGATTTAAAGGATAGAGTCAGCCATATTTCATTTTCTTAAAGAAATAAAAAAAAATATATTATTTTTTCAACTATTTTCTATTTACTTTTCTTTAATAGAACAAATAAACAATAAAACAATTATCATAATCATGATAATCAGATTATATCGTGTTATAGAAATATTTCATATTTTGTCATAGAAGTATTACTTTAATTTAATAAATTGACATGTATATTGGTAAATATTCTCTGATCTACAAACTTACAATTGTTACAAAATTGAAATATTTAATTCATAAAATGTAGCTTTATATCATATAAATTAAATGCAAATAAGATTTATATTACTATTTTAATCTGTTTCCATGGCAACAGCTACTTGAGAATCCTGAGGACCTTCATCAGCAGGTGGATCTTGTGGTGGTCTGCTGTCATCCTGTACAACAGGTTCAGTAGGTCTTCCACGTTTTTCATCTCCTTCAATCTGGGATAAATAAGCAGCTGTCGTAGTTTCATCAAGAATAGCAAAATCATAATTCTTTCCCACTATTCCGATTGATACATTCTGAAATATATAAACGAAATTTAACGTTTTCTCAATCAAAATTAATTTGTAAATTAATTAATAAAATTGTATGTAGCGCGCGCGCGCGCGCGCGCGCACACACACACACACACACACACACACACACACACACACAGAGTATATATTAGTGCTGTTAACAAAGGTGGCATACTTCATTATTTATCAAGTATTCTGTAGAACATTCTCATTCTATTTATATCTCAATTTTCAAAAAATTGATTTGAAAATTTTTCAATTGAATACTTTATTTCGGAAAAATCAATATTTTATAGTAAATGAATAAATGAACGAAGCTGAATCAAATCTTACTTTAATTGATAGATCAACTTCATTAGGCAACGTGTCACGTAATGCTCTGAGACCATGTTTCACTAACTCATCAAGATCACATGACAAAAATTCATTTAAATGCTTCTCTAAATATGTCCTCGCACTTTGGGATCGTGCTCCCACAGCCATCGCTTTACAATCGAAATAATTTGCCGAGGGACACGTCTGATATATATGTGGCCCTTGATCCTATCAAGCATAATTATTGTTAGAGAAATATATTTAGCATTTAATGAATTAGATGCTATAATTATTAATAAATTCTCACATCGCATCCAGCTACGAGTAAACCGACGCCGTACGGACGTCGATCATATCTTTGAGTACACATTTGCATCTTATTTCCCAGAGATGCAATTAGACGACCCACAGGCAATGTATCATCATGAGCAAATTTGTAGTTTAGACATTCAGTTCGCATGTAACGGCTGAAAATAATAATTCATTATCCTAAATTAATCTATTTAAAGATTGATATGAAGTAAATTGATCATTGTCCATTGATAATATAAGCTAGAATATATTCATGAATTAGACTGATCCATATGCTGAATTTCTTCTTTGTATGTATGTGTATGTGCATACACACATCTATTAATCATATCAAAGTCTATTAATTTTAATTTTGTTTTAATTTATTATCTTTCTCTAATTCTTAAAAATAAAAAATAAAAGATTAAACTGAAATTTACAATTAATGATAGTTAATTTACATGTTGACAGAAATGGACATCAGAATAATAAATTAGATTTATTTTCCATGATTTAAACCAAAATATGCATCCATAAGCTATTCAAGAATTAGCACCTAGATATTCTTTTATTTACATATAACAGCAAATGTATGGAATTTTATGTATCAAATAAATTACATATCACATAAATAAATCATGTAGCATTAAACAAGTTAATATTGCAAACACAACATTAATATCGCAAAATATTAGGTAGCACATCTTTATCTATGGTAAACATGAAAAACTGCTGCTTCGGTAAATTAAAGATAACTGACACAAAAGCAAACCTATACATTATAACATTTTCTAACATATACTTTTACACAATAAAAACATACAAAATAAAAAGTAGCATATAATATACCTTAATATTCTTGCATCAGCTGTTAAACCTGAGATACTAACTCCCATATGTTTATCTATTGGTATGATCTTCTTCTGATGAGCTGATAGCTCTGATGATGCTCTCTTTAATGCAATAAGAACAGCATGTGTTTTACTTTTAAGACCTACAGTAGCTGATCCAAGTTTCACAGCTTCCATAGCATATTCCACTTGATGCAATCGTCCTTGTGGACTCCATACTGTCACATCACTATCATACTGATTACGAAACTAAAAGATATATAATTGTAATAATAATCATTTATGCATTTTTATTCAATATAAATATTTTTGTTATGTTTTTGACTAAAGGCATTTGATTTAAATCTTACATATGTAGGACGATTCTAAATAAATACAAAAAAGGTTAGATTTAGATTTTTGTCAAAAATTAATGGAGATCTTTCATATAAACATACACTTCTACATCTCTGCTTGAGGAGGTATTCCATCAAAGGATGAAGTTAAAATTAGTTTATCTTTTTTTTTTAAATTTTGGAGTTCAAGTTAAAAAGTAAAATTTGATAAACATTTTTCATTAATAAAAAGAATATTTAACTATATTCTTTTTAACCTTCCCGTATTGTTATAAAGAGATAAAACTAACAATCTCTATTAAATCTTTATTAGAATTTTCTAACAACCGGAATATAAGCATCTAAAAATATGAAAATTCGGTTCGTTTAGACTTTTTTTTAGAAAAGTGTAATTCCTCAAAATATAAAATGTATCTTTATATGAAAGACTTCCTTAATTTTTGAAAAAGCATAATCTAAAATTTTTCGCATTTATTCAAAATCACTCTGTACAGATTGCTATAAAGTTAATCTTAAAATAGACATTTAAGTTTTTAAACTTTTTAACCTCAAAAACTTCAAAACAATAACATTAACATACAAATATTGTTTTATTTTTAAGACAATATAGTTCTTTTTTTCAGACAGTTTTTATCATTATTTATTTATATTATATAATGATTAAGTTATTTACAGTTCTTGCATATTATCAACCACAAAACTGACCGGCATGATTTACGAATTCTCTTTATATCAAAATAGAAAAATCGTTTAAAAAATATAATCTACTTATAATCAATTATTCACCATTTTTATTAACAATTCCTTGTAATTAAACGAATGAATATTACTTGCAAAAATATTCGATAATTAACCACAATGCGAACGAACAACACGAATGAAAGTTTAGTAACACAGATTTCCTATCCTATAGAGTACAAAGGTGCCAATTCATGCTTAATGTTCAGCTTTGGTGTCAAACATGATGAGTAAGCCTGGATCCTCATGCAGCACCGGCGTTTTGACACCGAGCGCTGATTGGTGAAGAACGGATAATAGGGGTAAATAGTAAAGATTCATTCGCCGTTTTATCCCTACTACTCATTTTTCACCAATCAGCATCTGTGTCAAAGCGCTGGTGTCTGCATGAGGATCTAGGTTAATGCTGGATTCAGACCAACACGATTACACGAAATGCGATATCCAATAAGCGTACAGCTTTTCCGAGAAAAAGATACAGGCTGCGTTCCGATATTCGTTGCCAGCATTGAAAATCTATAACATACGTGATATGAACTATGTATTTTTAATACTGGCAGTAAATATTGGAACGCAGCCACAGCTTTCTTCGGGAAAGCTGTACGCTTATTAAATATTACGCATCGCGTATCGCGTCATCGCGTTGGTCTGAATTAGGCTGCGTTTCAATATTCACTGCCAATACTGAAAATCTATAATACACATGACATAAACTCACAGATTGTCGCGACCAATCACAGCGAAAGAAACAGAACAAACAGAATGAATAAGTTTTCTTTTGGTTCTTTCGCTGTTATTGGTTCGCGCGTTCCTTTCCGCTGTGAATTTCCGCGCCATGAGATGCCAGCCTCACGGTATGCTGGTAGTGATTTTGGAATGGTGTCATAGTGCTGCCAGCGCTGACAATCAATTTTGGAACATAGCCATTATAACCTCAGTAAACAATTTCATTATACTATTATCGCTAAAAATGTCTTGTAATCCATATTTAGATATGGAAATTCGAAAATTGAGACCTGCTGAATTATATACTTTAGGAAATATATTAAGCATTTCTGATTCGTGGAAGAAATTGATGGCTATTGTGACTAAAGAAGGAAATGTACCTAAATTTAATAATGATCATATCAGGTAATTTATGAAACTAAAATAATTTTTAATGCTAGTAATAATTCCTTTTTTTTATATAGAATCATTGAACAAATAGCACATAAAGATAAACGCAATGCAGCTCAAATATTTTTGGATGAGTGGTGTACTATGGGAAAAAAAAGACCAACATTAGAATTATTATTGGAACTTCTCATAAAAGCCGAATTATTTAGAGCTGCTGATTATTTGGCATGTGATATTTTAAAACGTAAGTTGATAATTATGTACACACCATATATGTGTATATATAATTTTTACTTATACACACATACATACCCCCACCCCACCACACACATACACACACACACACACACACACTGTACAATATAACTTTATCATTTTAACTCCCATATCTACTGGACCAATTTAAATTCTGTTTTTAATTTTTTTTATTTAAAAAAAATTTGATAGAAAAATTTATAAATAGATGTATCTTTTTTGTTTTCTAAGTTTTTTAACGAAATTTTTAAGATCACTTTAAATATTTTTAATGGAATCTTATAATCTTTTTTATATAATTTGATTTCTTTAATTATTCTAGATATAAAAGTATTGAGATAAAATTATAAAAAGTAGTAAGTCCAAAATGTATGATTCCACCAAAAATCACATTTTTTGTAACAATCATCAAATCATAAAAATATATATATATATATATATATATATAAAATATATGTGGATAAATTTTAAGGACGGAGCATAAGATTCTTTATTTAATTTAATTTAATTTAATCAGTCAATAAACAAAACAGTACTGATATTAGTTATATATATATGTTTATAAACATATTTTTTTATGAATTTTCCAGCAAAGTTGTAACTTTTACAGAATTTTTAAAATTTTAAATATGCTTTGACATTTTTGATATTTTTTAAAAATGTAACTTTAAAATTTATTTATACATTTATATATGCTTTCAACAGATCAATAAAATCAACAAAATCAACATAGTCTAGTTGTATTATTATTTGTCTTTGTTTAGCATTCGATAAAGGATAATAGATGATATTAGATGTAACTAGACACTAGGTTGTGTCTTGCTGAAAAGCACTTATATATTTTTATAGCTTGTTTCATTGTTATACTACAAAAAATACAGTTTTTAGTGAAGTGGTACTTTCGAATAAAAAAACAATTTATAAAATATTTTATATTTTATTCTAGCATATTTTGACATGAAATATAAAATGTAACTAATGTAAAATAACTAAAATGTAATAACTATTATTTTTTTATAATTGTATCTTGATATTTTTATGTACAAAATAAGGAGAAAAACATAAAGCATGTAATAGTTTTTCAATTGAAGTGTGTATTTGTTATATTACAAATTACATAATTTTTTAAGGATGACTACATCTTCTTTATACTGACTGATTCATCTCATTATTGAGCACATTAAAATATAGTTAACAAAATAAATAATTTATATTTTATATTTCATGTTAAAATAAGTCAGAATAAAGTATCTTGTAAACTATTGATTTTTTCATAATTTTATCTTGATGCTTATCCAGAAGAGAAGAATCAAATTATATATAAAAAATTATATAATTTAAAATAAAAATAAAGTGATCTTGAAAATTTTATTAAAAAAAGATTGCAAAACAAAGATATGTTTGTTTATAGATTCTTCTAAAATAAAATAATTAGTTAAAAGTATTTTAAAAAAATTTCATTTGGTCCAGAAATATTAAAGGTGACAAATAATTCATTTAAATGTCCACTTATATAGGTGTGCGCACGCGGACTTCTCTCCCCCTTTCTTCTCCCTTCCTCTTTCCCCTCTTTCTTTCCTCCTTCTGTTTGTATGTTGTGTATTATAAAAGTTTAGTACATTTAGTACATTTTAGTACATTTAAAAACTATTTATTATTTATTTTCTGTATAGAAGACAGACCAAAAAGACCAGATAATGGTCCAGCTGCTTCTATCGATATAAGTGATGCAGCCATAGATAAATTATTAGATAAACAACTTTCACAGCATGCATTTGCTAATTCTGTGATAGTAGGATCAATATCAGAACTCACTGAAGGGATTAATGAAATGTGCCCTTCTGCAGACATACAAAAAATGCAAAATGATGAAGAATTTAGTTATAATGAATCATTATCATCTCGAGATTTGCCAGTAGTTATAAATAACTTACAGAGAAGTTCTCAATAAAAAAAAAGTTTGTTTAATTTTCTATATAATATATATAATCTGTAATCTAATTGTATAAAATAATGATTAATATCTAATATTACGATTATATTGTATATTAAAGTATGTAAAATATGTACAATATATAAATAATATCATAAAAAGTACTAACAATTTCCTGGATCGTTAAGTCTGACTTGAATAGATTTTGTAAAGTGTTTATTATAATATTATAGTATTATAATAAGATCCCATCTAATCTTTTAATGCATTCTACATTGCATCTTTTTGTTGACAAAATTTACAAATTTATAATAAATTATAATTATATAATAATTTATAAATTAATATATTAATTTTTACTTTGTTTCGAAATACACAAGCCACCTCCCGATAGCACACATTGGTTCAGTAGAGAATTGGTGTTCAGTAGAGAAAATAGCTTAGCGCTTTATGCTAATTGGACTTCTATCGGCCGATCCTTAGAAATTTTCCAATCAATTATTAATTAGAAAATTTTATATTTCCTTGGCAAATTATTGACACGGGTAAATGGATCCTACTTTTTAATGAACAGTTACAAAATTGAATGTATTAATTATCCCATATAATTTAACAACATTGCAGAAATAGGATCAGTTTTATTGTCTCTCATTAACTTAATTATCTGATTATTCCATTAGAATTGAATAATCAATTTAATTAATCGAAGATGATAAGATTGGCCCGTAGAGTAAAATTCAATATTCATATTCAGATTCTATTTAAGATAATTTTAAATATAAGAAAGCTGGCTCTATACGAATATCGTCTTATTAATATCTAATTAATTTTATTAGATTATAAATTATTTCGGTAAATATATCTTTTTTAAAGCATTTTTAGCAAGCATTAAGCATTTAACCGTTTAAATATAATTATAATCAGTTGGATCGTAACTCTAGTAACTCAAAACAGATCATATGTCATTAATTGCTCTTGGAGCGATCAAAATTATGGGTCTGTTCTTTTTGAAGCTGAACTGGCTGCACTAGTTCAAAGTTTATCTTTCTTCTTCCAGTGTAAGAAAGAAAGATAAACTGTGAACTAGTACTACAACCAAAAAGCCAAAAAGAACAGGCCTTTTTTCGGCTTCAAGTGCAGAAAGTACGATATAGTGCAGGTACAAACAAGAATTGTCATCATGGATCAGCTATTTATCAGCTGATCATCGTGATCGTTCGGAATGTGAAAATTATTATCATCGTGATTTACTTTTTTTTTTTACAGGAAGACATTTATGCATAACGTTATGAAATCCTTCCGCGAGGTTCTCGCGAATGCTAATAATATTCTGATCCTAACTGGTAGCGGCATCTCCGCAGAATCCGGTGTACCGACTTTCCGAGGTGCCGGAGGATTTTGGCGTAAATACCAGGCGACGAGTCTCGCGACGCCGGAGGCCTTCGCAGCAAATCCCTCATTAGTCTGGGAGTTCTACGAGTATCGCAGGCAGTTAGTGAGCAAGGTCAAGTCAAATAAGGTAAGCTGTCGCTTGAAAAATTAAAGCGTATATAAAAACAAAAATCAAAGTTCAATGTTTACATTGATGACAACAGAGCTCTTCTACTATTTTAATTATTAATAGGATACGTCTAAATAATACACTAAATAATACACTGAGAGTTGCTTTATAATATTATATTGCAGGAGAAGAATTTTATAAAGAGAATACACTGATAGCACAAATTGAAGTATATCATATAAATGTTTTTTGAAAACAAAAAATAGATTAATCGAAATCAAACATTTGAGTTTGATTAATTATTACGTATTATGAGTAATTATTACGAGTAATTATTACGATGTTTAACAAAATCTTATTCTACTATATATTCATGACATTAACTTAAAAAGACAAATTAAAAGACAAATTTTCATGTATAACGATCATTACTAAAGAAAATCTTCAACATATATTAAAAAAATATTGATCTCAAACAGTCTTGAAATGAATTTTTTTTATTCTTCTATCTCCTTTCCAGGCACATGAAGCTGTAGCAGAGTTTCAAAAGCGTAAAATAGTAGAGGGTAAAAGAGTATCGATCGTCACACAAAATATAGACGGTTTGCATCAGAAAGCTGGAGCAACGGATGTAGTGGAATTGCATGGCTCACTTTATAGGACGCGCTGTACTAGATGCGGTGATGTCGCTGTTAATAATAACATTCCAATCTGCCCAGCATTGGCAGAAAAAGGGTATGCAAAAACTTTTGTAACTATATCACTATGTATATAAGTGCAACATATCTCCTTTTGTCAATCTGATGACACTATGTCTAAGCAGATCTCCTGATCCAAGTATTATGTCCTCTGATATTCCGATAGAAGAATTGCCACGTTGCAAGATCAAGGATTGTGAAGCGTTGTTGAGACCTGATATTGTATGGTTTGGAGAACAATTAAACCCAGATGTGCTACAGAAAGCTTGTGCGTTATTTTATTTTATAAATATAAAATCGTATACATTCCATTTATATTGTAAAAATAAAAGACTCATAAAAGAAATCAAACTAGTAGTACAAAGAATCAAATATTAGTACAGGATATAAATAGTTATAGGGAAGCCGTCGCGATCATACAGACTAATAAGTATTGCGCGTAATAAATGAAGAAGTTTGAACTTGGTGTTAAATCTTACGATTTCTTATAGTTTAAAAAATTACGTAAAATCTCACACAAGAGACTTCTATACATCTCAAAATGGATAAAGTAGATAACAATACGCAGCCGAAAAAGAATTTTCAAGGATATTACTGCACTAAGAATTTCTTGAAATTCCTTTAATTTCAGCTGCAAAGTAATGTGTTATGTATTGAATCCGTATTTTTTAAAAATATAAAGACTTGTGTGTAAGTTTCTATTTTATTAAACTGTAAGAGACAGGAAATTACTATAGTCGACTGGACTCGAATTCAGGATTTTTTATTTACATGACACTTATAATGAATTTGATTCACTGCACTATATTGGATTAGTGCTTATTAAAGACTGCTATATATGAAATATCTAAATGTAATAATATTACTTCTTTGATAATGATATTATTAATTCATATTCAGCTGAATAATGCGATAAATTCATTATTGACTATTTATATTTATATTTATTACAGGGTAAAAATGGCCAAGCCGTCATATGCAGGTGGAGTGAACTAAACTGAGTTGAAAAATTCTGTTTTGCAATTTTCGAAATAGTTAACGAGTTATTAATTTATGAAAATAGTCAAATTGCAAGCGCGCGGTGAGATAGGACTGTCCAGTGAGACACGCGTTCGCCGTCGCTAGATACGTGAAGTTGTTTACAAGCGGCATTGGCTACGCTTTCTTCTACGTTACATGTTCTAGCGTGCTCCATATAGGCGCGTCAAGATATATGTATAGCTATATATCCTCACGCGCCTATCAATTATGATCGCCAGGCGGGAATATCTTGCCGGTAGGCCGGACTAATACGGTGATTTTTAATAATTAATAACTCGATAATTATCGCGAAAATTGTAAAATAATAGAGGACTTTTCTACTCAGTTTTATCTGCTCTACCTGCACACGAGAGATAATATGATCGGTGTAGTCATTTAAAATGTATTAAAAATGTAACACACACACACACACACACACACACACACACACATATATATATATATATATATATATATATATATATACGACG